TAGCGATTTCTCAACTCTCGCTAAAGGAATCACTTCGCGTCATAATTGCTAGAAAGAGAAAGATATTCTGCGTGCGATGCAGCCCAATGTTTTATCGTTACATGGTGGGATTTATGATATCATCTAGACCGTGCACAATGCTCTGCCTTACACCGGCGCAACGTGTCGCTGAAGCCGATGAAAATTTTGATAAACTGTGCGGCCACCTGGCCGAAGGGTCAAATTTCGCTTTATCTAAACTGCTTTTTCTTTTCTCTCGAGTCTTTCTGCATCTATCATTCCTCTGAATGTTAATAATGTGTTGTTTTCACTTTAAAAATCCTCTATTTGTTATTGATCTCAGGAAAGAAGTGATATACAATGCTTTTCTGCGATGAATTTACTTAAAGGCTACTGCATGACGAAGGCGAAGAAGCAGTATTAGTTAAGCGGGCGCGAACGCGACGCGCGCGTATCCTCATCGGTGTCCTGCGCTCTGCGGCTAATAAAGCTGCGTTCGCGCCCAAAGATAATGCGCTTGGTCATGCGGCAGCCTTACTAATAGCCCGTCCTCACGTAACGTGCTGGCCCCAGTACAGAAGTTTTCATTGATCCTTGTCCCTCGCTTCACATCCACAGTCTTCTGTCGTCGGTGGCTGCGTTCACGAATTCCAGGGCGAAGGTCGTATCCACCCAATTTCTGAGCTGGTCCATTCGTTCCACGAACACGTCTGCACATCTCGTTGGAGCTCTTCCTCGCGGGCATTTCGCTTCGCATCCACTACGATGTTATTAGTGTCGCAGCAGCACAAGCATCTTTCAAACAAACAAAGCTACATCTTATGTCTTAGGGCCGAATGCATCAACATTCCCACGGGGATCGAGAGTGGATCGCAGCTTAGAAGAACGCTTCACATGCTGGTGCTCTAGATAGCTGGATTTCACTTTAAGTATCAGTGAGTATTCCTGCTATCTTTTACTCTGAAAATATTGAACAGGAACGAGAGGCTGTACAAGCTACATTTTTTAGCTTTTTGTATTATTCCTGGGCCGGTAGTAATCCCCCCGACCTGGCGGCAGGTCTCGTCGGCAGATCGCTGGCACCTTTTCCGTGAGGTGGCCAGAAAGTGAAACCCCAAATTTAGGCGGTCCCAGGCCTATTTCCAAAAAATTTTCTCTATAAAGATGTCGCCTAGACTTTGTAGAAAACTCCATAGAAATTTGTGGTTCTAAAAATATTTCTGTGGGAAAATATCTGGAAGCGCAGAAGGAGCTGCCGGCAACTTCGCGATGTAAGTTGCCGGCAACCTGCCGGCAGCTCGTCGAAATCCGCGAGATGGCAGCTGCCGGCAGGTCAGAGATTACGGAAAATAGCATGCTCTTTTGAGAGAGGGAGCTGCCGGCATCTCGACATGCCCCTACCACGTCGAGGTGATGGCACCTTTGCCGACGGCGTCTGCGAGTTTGCGAATTGCGGCGATATCACACAATTTACGTCAGGCGAAAAAATCAAAAATTCTACTTTTCATCAAAAAACTATCATTTTTCTCATTATATGAGTTTTTCTTTTTCAAAACGACGATTTTCTTACAGAGAAAAAATCCAGTAATGCCTTAGAATCATAAAGAACATCATCTTTTTTGGCAATCCCTTATAAATCTCGTCTGCACCGATTCCGCCTCTCTCTCGCTCATATCAATCAGCTGTTCTTTCAGGTCAAAGTCTGTCACGCAATGTATCGATCCCTCTTACAGGCAGCCATTTACCAGCGCGTTCCTCCCATTGCTGGTGCAAACGGCAATGGCTGACCGAATGGTCGAATGGTTAACGTGGTTGCACTTCAAGTTAACGCACATAGGTTCGAACGCGCGCGAGGTAGCAATTTTGCGGCTGTCTGCGTCATCAAAATTTAATGTGCGAAATGATTGCGTGCTAAGGTTGCATAAGATTATCAAAACCTACAATCACTCCGCGAGCTGCCGGCGGAGTTGGCATCTTTCCGCGATGTGTGCCAACTTGCCGGCATCTTTGATGCCACCAGGTAGGGTAGATTACTACCGGCCCTGATGATCGTCGGCGACCGACCGTCTTAGCCCTAAAGTCATTTCTTAATTCGAGGTCAACGATAACATTTCAAAATTATACTGATTATTTCAAGAAATAGTGCTGAACAGGGAGGGTATATGATTCGCAGCGGAGTTTTCCTATGAAATATATATCAGTCGAAAGCTATCTGAACGCTGATCTCAGAACAACCTTCCATATCTGCTTATCGGTTTACTGGACAAAGTTACACGCATTTGTTTGGCCTCAGATGCCACTGATTTTGGATGCTTATTAAAGGACGAAGGCGACAGAGTACCTTCAAAACTATTTCCATCAATTTTTTATGCATAATAAATACACCTCAGACTTCTGGGCATGTAACTTTGGAGCACCATTTATTACGTTTTTGCTCATTACACAGTATGTAAATGTGCAAATTGTAAGCGGAAAAATGCCCCTAACTTTGTTCAGTAAGCCGATAAGCAGATATGGAAGGTTGTTTTGAAATGAGCGCTGAAAGACCTTTCGACTGATATACATCTCATAGAGAAGATCCACTGCGAATCATATACCTTCCCTTGTGAGCATGTTGCTGATAAGAACAAAGAAGTTGTTAACATAGCGCAATTTTCGACAAACCCCAACTTTCGACTTGTTCATCGCGTGGGTTCATCGCGAATTTCATGATTTCGATACATCACTTGTTCTTGTCGGAAACATGCTCAGCACTGTTCGGAAAGATAATCAGTAAAACTTTCGAAAACTTTCAACCTGAAGAAAGGAAAATGACTTTGAAGAAAAGATGTTTGGCCGCCGGAGATTATCTAGGGATCATACAAAACCTCAAAAATGCGTCCTGCACAACTTCTCGCCCCTGTTGAATACGTTTATGGTTAAGGATAGTAGGAACACTACGATCAGACAGCGTGAATTTCAGATATTTGGAGCTTCAGGATATGAAGCATTCATTTGAGCTGCGATCCCCCCCCCCCCCCCGGGGAGTAAATGTTAATGCATTCGGCCCTCAGCGTCTCCATAGTTCTGGAGCCTCTTGAAAAGGTTTGACGTAGACGTATTGAAAAGTAAAGAATATGGCGCAATTTCTTGCTCTGGCAGTGCATTCGTACATCTTTCAACCAAGTTCAGAAACTTGGTACTGCGAAAAATAAATACTGACTAGACGTGTAAAAGTGCGTCAAAGGAAAAGGGCCGAGTTTCTACTTTGAGCGAATGCTTTTGTGTTTTCTAGGATTTCATTGTCATGCCATTCCCGAACGTTCTCTGAAATTTAATGCTTTAGCCAACTTTATTGCTGGGTATTTTAGCATTTCGAATTAACGTTTGAAAGCTTTGATCCCTTTCCCAAGGTTTTATAATTGCTTCAGAACGCTTGCCGATACATCAATGCAATCACCGATTTCCTATATCAAAAATTGAAATTACTGCGATTTTATTGGAGTCCCCACATAAATAGATGCTGAAACGCTCCTCAGCATTACATCTCGTTTCGTAAAAGTTCTTGTTATGCTTTAATCAATTTCACAAAAAGTTTCAAAATCGTAAGGTAACAGAGAGCTGCTTCTTTTCATCCAAAGACAGCACAAAGCTTAAACGCCTTTTCAGGCAATAAAGTCTAACTTTGATTAGAAGTTGAAAATCTGAGCAGTGTCCTTATTCATGAACGAGCCCTTGAGGTGATACACCTCAAAGTTTGTTTCCAAAGTAAATTTCAACCTCTTCGATAATGAATAGGCCCTCAAATCAACTATACAGCCAAGTAGAATTTTAGCTTACAGTGTGTCCGCGATGCCGAGATGGCGCGGTAGAATTTGCGCGTGAACGAACCACGCCAGTAATACCGGTCGCGCGCGAAGATAATTCTTCCGCCGCTTACAAGGGAATGGTCAGAAGTCGAAGTGGCCAATCCATACAAGTTGCATACTATTTGAGCAGCTTAAAATGCTGATTTCAAATCTGTCTTCCTTATCTGAAGAGCGCCTTTGTAAGCGAAGTTATGACCAGCTTTAATGCGAAAAAATCACACACAAAAGTTGCGAGATTAGGCACATTATTGCACTTTTCGCTCAATTTTAGGTACTGGCCATATGGAGTGACCTGGCTGCATGTTTTAGTCTAGCACTGAGCCGGGTATGGCCCTGTACGGACGAGTTTGCCCTTTACACACACAATTTCTTAGCAAAATGATCGCTTTCAACGGCTTATAATTTCGTCCACAAAAGCGCTCTGCAGATAAGGAAGACAGACTCAGCGTTTTATGCTGCATCTAATGGTATGCAGCTTGTATGGATTGGCCACTTCGATTTCTGACCATTCCCTTGTTATCGGGACTATCGGGTGGCCTTTGGCAAAATCTCGTTATCTCTAAGGCTCTGACGAAGGCGTGGACGCCGAAACGTCGGCCTAATAAATATCAATACCATCTTGGTCAACGCTAGAAAAACAATCAATACTCATATTCCCTTGTTAGTTCATACTTGTGCATTTCGAATCGTATTAGTCAAACCAAAGTCAAACATGTTCTGACGCTTTTGCAGATGAGATCGCTTCAATATTTTTACTCGTACATCAGTCATCACCTTATATTTGAGGAAATTAGGCAGGGTTCATACTGTGCCGCTTTGTGCGGCTCAGTATGAACCCTGCCTTAGCCAAACATAAGCGTTAATAGTTTTGATTCGGCGCTCAAAAGTGTTGCGATTAGGTTGCGAATGCTCACAAGTGCAGTGCTCTCACAATAACAGCCAAACGTTTCTAAACTGTTTGGCTGTTATTGTGAGAGCGATCAAAATGATTGATCAGTCGAGGCTGAGCAGAAGACTTCCGTATGATTGGACTGCTTGAAAATGAGATATGATAACACACTAATTCTCTAAAAGCTCTGGAAATTCATAGAAACGAATAAATTTTGTCACTGCTATATGAAGCGTTTGATGTAGCTCATGATTCGTTTTTTGAGCACACTCTATTTTGAGAACACGTTGGATATGTTCGCATTCAACTTCCTTTTACTTGTACTATGGTTCAATGCTCTTGCTGGCGGTCACTTTTTCCCAAAAGAGGAAAATCTACCGCCTGTATTCTATAAGGTGAGAGTGTTAAATTTCATCACGAGAAAGAAACTATTGAAAACGCTCATAACTTTTTTTTACAGTGCATAGATAATTGCATTGCTAAAAAACGTCCGGCAAAATCGCGGCCAGAAGCCGAATGTGTTGAAAAATGCAGGTCAAGGTGGGACCCGACATGGAACCCAAGAACCACGACACGGATGTCAAATTCGCGGGCAGAAGCCGAATGTATGAAAAAATGCAGTTCAAGGTGCAAGCTATGAACCACGACACCGATGCATGTGTTCGTCAAGTGAATAAAAGGGATATGATTAGCAGGGATATTGTCATGCATGCAGTGGGTCATATCAGACCATTGTTACACTGTCCCAGCAAGCCACTTTTTGGAATATGCACTACCTTGGATTTGGATTTTGAGAGTTTTCGTAAACAATTTAGTATAAATTTGCACTAACCAATGCGCAGGTGCGAACGATCTTTTGAAATAAGACAATCGCTACTTCGCTTATTATTTAGAAAAGACAGCGTATATATCGCGTCTCCGAAAAGTAATGGCACTACGAACGAATCCACATATAAGTCGAGTGATAAGTCATATACATAAACTGCTTTCTTGGACTGTTGCTGCCACAGTTGCATTTTGTCGTCAGGCTTGGTATATGTTGTTTTATAAAGCCGCCTAAAACATGCTATAAGGAGTTATGTCCATATTTTTTAATGACTGTTGCCTTTTGGGCATGTGTGTAACCGTTATCAAGAAGCACAACGAGTTTTGATTGGTAAGCGGTAAGTGTAACTCTTCATCTGCAAACGGATAAATGTTCGAAGATATGCATTATTTGATGGGAGAGAAGTTTAACAGAAGTGAAATCAATGCAATGAAACTCGAGCGTATTTTGCGGATAATGTTGCGGATTCCGGACTCCGGATTCCGAAACAAAATCAAGAGGATCTAAAGAGGATTTCATAGATTCTGACAAAAGGCTGATACTAGCACATAAGAATTCCTTCGTTCGAATCCAATTGCTGGCAAGTCCTTTTGCTAAACCTACGACGTATTATGGTCAAATCATAACAGCAAACTCCAAATTGCCATATGCTTACCTACGTAAATGAGCGCTTGATAATGTTCTCTAATATCTGCTCCAAGACGAAGGCGGTCGCCCAAATAGGTTGAAAGCATGCAATGCCGCGGCGCGCGGGCAGTTGTCAACCACAGGGCGCGCACACGCTCAGTTAGCGGTCATCCACGCGAGCTTGCGCGCGACCCGTGGTTGACAATTGCCCGCGCGCCACGTGCGCGTCAGCCTTGCATGCTCTTAACCTATTTAGGCGACCGCCTTCGTCATGGAGGAGATATTACAACTTGCGAAGATGATTAGACCTCAGCTGAAGGTTCACTGTCAAAAGCTTTCGGACTATTAACAGCTTCACGTTTGACTCACGCAAGGCCATCAAAGGCAGCGTGGACATCGCGACCGAGGAAGACGCAGAAGCAGCAGAGATTGAAGAGAACTCTCCTTTTCTAAAGAGGTTCATTCTGAATAGACTGATACTAGCACAGGAGAAACCGTTCGTTTCGTGAATGAAGCATCCAATCTATTTGGGAACGGGATCCGATTAGGCAGACAATCTCGCCGAAGCTGTTCACCGCAACCTTGCAGTGGATGATGAAGTCACTGGAGACGAGAGAGGTATACGATTTGATGGGAGATTCCAGTCGAACCTTCGTTTTGCGGACGACATCGTTATCTTGTCGAGCAGTATCATTAAAGCAGAGGCAATGCTGAAGTAACTAAACGAAGAAGGGAAGAAGATAGGAGTGCGAATACGGAAGAAGACTCAGTTTACGCAAAACGCCCTCTACGAAGAGAATGGATTTGGAAGGCACCCCTATCATGGAGACGTCTTCTTACGTGTATCTTGGATGTTTGATGAACATGCAGAATGACTTGAGGGAAAAACTTAACAGGAGAAGAAGAGAAGCTTGAGCCGCCTTTGGGCCTCTGAGGGAGGTCATCGACCAACTGACGGATCCGAAGCTTCGTGCCCCCCGTTTGACACCGTTCTACTGGGGCAGCTGAGACTTAGGCCGACACTGTGGACACGTAGGAAGCCCTACGGATCACCCATAGAGCGCTTGAGCTGAGTTTTCTGAAAATGAGCCGAACAAGCAGCATCTTGTCACCTTGGAAAGAAATTTGAGAAGAATGTCCCTCTTCGTCACCCAGCGCAATACGTTGCGAAAGCGAAACATCGATGGGCGGTCACATTTTGCGAGGAACAAACAACGGTGGACACTAATAACATCGTAGTGCATCCTCGCGAAGCGAAATGTCCACGAGGAAGACCTCCATCGAGATGTGCAGACGTGTTCGTGGAACGAATGAACCAGCTCAGAAATTGGCTGGATACGACCTTCGCCCTGGAATTCGTGAACGCAGCCACCGACGACAGAAGGCTGTGGATGTGAAGCGAGGGACAAGGATCAATGAAAACTTCTGTACTGGGGCCAGCACGTTACGTGAGGACGGGCTATTAGTAAGGCTGCCGCATGACCAAGCGCATTATCTTTGGGCGCGAACGCAGCTTTATTAGCCGCAGAGCGCAGGACACCGATGAGGATACGCGCGCGTCGCGTTCGCGCCCGCTTAACTAATACTGCTTCTTCGCCTTCGTCATGCAGTAGCCTTTAAGTAAATTCATCGCAGAAAAGCATTGTATATCACTTCTTTCCTGAGATCAATAACAAATAGAGGATTTTTAAAGTGAAAACAACACATTATTAACATTCAGAGGAATGATAGATGCAGAAAGACTCGAGAGAAAAGAAAAAGCAGTTTAGATAAAGCGAAATTTGACCCTTCGGCCAGGTGGCCGCACAGTTTATCAAAATTTTCATCGGCTTCAGCGACACGTTGCGCCGGTGTAAGGCAGAGCATTGTGCACGGTCTAGATGATATCATAAATCCCACCATGTAACGATAAAACATTGGGCTGCATCGCACGCAGAATATCTTTCTCTTTCTAGCAATTATGACGCGAAGTGATTCCTTTAGCGAGAGTTGAGAAATCGCTAAAAATTGACATATGTATATAAACGAGCAGTCGATTCCAAGAAGAGATTTTATACAATGAAAACATTTTCTACCCTAATTACACACGTACAAGGCGCAGGGGAGTTTTTTCCAAAATCGAGCAGCCCATGGGCGCTAAAAGACTTCGAGACCAAAGAGCTCTTTATCGTGCAGCATAGTGCAGCATATTGCCTGAGAGAATCGCGCGGCATAAGGATTGAGGAAAGTATCTTCTCATTGTTTAAATGTTAGCAAGCTTGCGGGCAAAAGCTAGCTCACACAGCCCCGGCAGAAAAGAATTTTTTTATAAGCAGCAGGATCAAAACAATGGGAGCAATATCGCTATATGAAGAATCTTTTGTGTATAAAAAGAAAAGGAGTCACTGACTCTCGAATGTACGCGGTAAAATATACAGAAAACGCCAAATGATCAATAGGGTATTCTGAGATGCTGTCTGAACTTTGGTAAGAGCAAACGGCAAGTGAATACAGATTAGAATACCATGCATTTGATAATGCGCCGTTTTGGTGATGTTTGCTGCATCATTCTGAATACGATGATTTCAAGAAATCCTTCAGATTATAAAAGCTTGAACATCCCTGTTTAACACAGATGTCGGTTTGACTTTAGTCGCCGTTATGGGTAGTTCAGTTTTGATTATGCGCATCGGAAATAAGTCGTAAAATTATTGTGTTCGGATGAGGTCAAAAAATTGTAAAATTGTAATTGTAAAGTCATAAAAAAGTCATAAAATTGTTGTGTTAAAACATTTTAAAAAAATCAATCAGATTAATTAATCTGATTAATCACTTGATTGAATTAATTACAATTAATTAATTGATTAATTTAATTAATTAATTAATTAAAAAATTTGAAAAACTAGTCATTAAAATGTAAAATCATAAAAAAGTCATATCAGGTCTTCCAAAAGTACCGTCGCTTTTTCAAATGTACGCCACATTCTATGGAATCAAGATTTTAGAGGGTTCTTAGAGCATTCGATGCAGCATTTCATCCTCTTTCTAATGGTTATGATATCATTGCATAATATTCAGCGAGCTCTAGAAAAATTACCAAAATCTGCGAATCATGCTTTCTGCCAAGGGCAAGTCCAGCTATTTTTCAAGATTTTTGTACCTAATGTCCAAAGAAGTGCAAATGACAGGTAGATAGAGCAAACTATACAGGACACAAAGTAATTTTTTTCTTTTCCTTAGCTTGCTACTTAGAGTTTCTGGAGTCAATTTCCAATGCCATCAAATTCCATATTTGGTCAACTCAAACCTCAGAGAACAACAACCGACAAACAGCTCGGGTGTCATTCGACGCAGCCTTTTCTCCTCTTTCTACCAGTTGGTTTTTGTTTCCGATTCATCAAGTTTTCCGGGATAAAGTCATCATAATTCAGGTTTTCCAAGGCGCCCCAGGCTGTACCCGGAATTTTCGATAGTTGCTTTTCTGAAGCAATGAATGCTCACTTGGTTTGTAAAATTGATGTCAAACCATAATTCGTCTTTTCAAGTTCCAAAATCCGAAGATTTATTGGTGTTTGATGCATTTGTGTCTGAGACGAGCCCCTAAAATTCGGTGGTTCCATCAAAAAATCTATACAAAAATTATGACGAGCTCTGAGAAAGGGACAAAGTTGTGCTGTTTCCTGTAGGGTCTGCTCCATCCATCCACTAGTTGGACTCTTTCCGAGGGTTGTTATAAAGATTTAGAAAATTCTGAAACTTGGCCTTCCCAAAAAGCATGGGCCGCAGATTTTGACAATTTTTTAAGAGGTTATTAAATTTTTTTGCAGTGATTGTACAACCGTTGAAAAGAGAGTGAAATGCTGCATCAAATGCTTCCTGCTCTTACATATGTTTGTTGCACGAGATGTGAGGTACGTTTGAAAAAAGCGACATTACTTTCAGAACGACCTGATAAAATTGTTGTGTTCGGATAAGGTGGTGGCAAGCATGAAAAGTCTTGACCTGTTTGATACTTGAAACAGCTCAGCTCTTGCAAATATCCGGGCTGAGGGTGAATTCTTAACTCTTTCCAAGATATCACGCTCCTTTTGGTTGGTAACCCTAGAGATGAAAGTATTCTGAGGTTTTGCGTACTAAGTGGCAAAAAGGTTGAAGAGAGTTTAGATGCTTGATTTGAAGGCATGCAATATCAATACCATATAGTGTGGACGGCCAGCTTTCCATAGGTACCTGCGCGAGCTCTCGCAACGCACGCCTTCAGTGCGCCTCCTGTCCTAGCTTCTTATAAAAGCCTCGCTTCCCTCTCATTTTCTTGTTTTTATACTTGTACTAAGTCCCTCTATTTTAGGTATAAGCCATCCGCGATGATTGGTGGCGAGGTTTCACGGTTCCACTAGTT